GTGGCTGGAATTGTATATGGGCATTCCATCTGGAAGACACTTTGCTCAGTCTGAAGGAGCACCAAGTGCAGATTATCAGGTTAGAGTCTATTGCTCCTGGATAATTGGATTATGTGATCAACTAAGCAACTTGTGAAGCAGAGATTGATTTTAGGACAAAGAGAGGTGATAGACCAGTATGGAACAGGGGAAGAATCATCAGCTCTTGTGGAATTAGAGCAAGCTGTAGCTATAGTTGTGGCTAGAGTTTGATTCTAAAGCTATTCTATCATTGTTGCTTAAGCACTTACTCAACATACTGAGATTGCTTGCATAGTGTATATTCCCTGCATTTTTTTAGAATTGTTTAGCTTTGACATAACATTTTTTTTCTGTCAGTGGTAAAAAATTATTAGAACCAAATTTGTATCTGTGAAATTTTATCAGGCCTCCCTACTGGTTTGAAATGTAGAGAAAAGGTTCATCAGTTGCGTCTTGTTTGGGGGTTTTTATAAAACAGTGGATTCTGTTAATTAGTAAAAATCATCTGATGAGCAGACTCATGTAAAGAAACATATTCCTGCCTACCAGTATTTCCTGTAAAAGACAGTGGTGGTGTTCTCAGGTGTTGTAAGCATCTAGTCAGAGCTCATCATCTCAATTTGCTTTGTGGTTAATGGAAAGGGAGAGAGAAAGGTGAAGTCCTTCGGATTGCATTTCCATTCCTGCTGGTTTAGTGTGAGCTAAACTGCTTTCTGAAGAAGAAACTGTCTTTTGGGTTATCAGAGGGAGCATAGGTCTAAGTATGCACTAAGGCAGCTAAAGCTGTGGGAGGTGAATCCCACTGAATATGTCATTTGTTAAGGTCATTGTGTGGGCTGTGACATAAACTTTATGGTGTATGTTTCTTGTATAACTTTCATTTATATTTTAGCATGGCTGTTGTAATCAGGTAGCCTTGCTGGTTGTATGAACAAGCAGTTGTCTTGGATCCTTTGCATGCCATGTGCATGGGAAATCTATAGCAAATTGTACCATTAGTTAAAAAAAAATGTTTTACTTTCTTTGATTAGCTTGTGAAACAGCTCCGATTAATTGCATGTCACTTTTTCACATGAGGAGGCAGAAATTAAGTCTATTTTATTACTCTTTCAAGTCAAATCATACAAATCTTTTTGGAGTTTCTTTCTCTGCTAACTTCTGTGAGAGTCCTCCTTTTACCTGCCAAAACCTTACTCTTCTGGAATTATGCTAAGAAACACAGCATTACAAGCTTGAACAGTACAATAGGTTTATATAATAGCTTTGGAATATTTTTCCTGTTATTTTCCATCTCTTTTCTTATGTATGCAAACAAGGTGTTAGCTGTTGTGATCACTGATACCTACTGAGCAAATGTTTTCATTGAGTTTCCATGCTGATGCACAGGTAGGGCTTTTGTTTTTCCTGAGCAGATAACAGCTCACTTCACCCCTACCAGTAAGCTGTGTGAATTAATCCCTTTTGTGTGCATTGCTTTGCATTCATAAGCATCTAATTATATTTGTTCCTCATGTTGAATGACTGGTAGCTCCCACACATGGAACAGTAGATGCTACACAGATACTAGAATACAGGGCAAAGAATGACCTAAACTGCTAAAGGACTGCCTTAAGCAGTCTAGAGGCTAGACTGCCAATAGCTCCTCAAGAGAGCTAGGCAGAGTCTTGTATTTGTTCCTGTGTTGGAGGAAAGTCAGCATAGTCCTGGTTTCCTTTCAGTCAGGTATTTATCTTAATACCTACACATGGGAAGACTATATTCATTCTGCCTTTTGACAGCTTCACCGTGGTCTCTTCAGACCTTCTGATGTCCTGAGCTACTTAGGATAAGGAAACTTTTGGATTTGACTCAAAACATTGGTTATTTTAAGCCTCATCCTGGCTTCTGCCCTGGTTTTTTTCAAGTGATTTCAAACCAAAGAAGGGTGCTTGGCTGCACACGATGCTGTAGTTTCACTGAGATTTGGGGGTCTCAGATGCTTAGAGAACAAGTTAAGCTGCTTTGCTGAATGTATAGATTAAAGTAGTGTTATTAGCAAACAGTGCTGTCAAGGTCAACAGAGGGCTAAGAAATTTTGCAAAACAATTTATTTTTATTTGCAGTGAAATTCACCTATTTTAACACAAATACTTCCATGAAAATCCAAATTAGATCTCAAGATTAAACACTTCTGTTTTGTTTATAGCATCTTTCACCATTCATATCTGCCTTCAGTTCTGATATTTTATTCCTTCAGGATGACACAGACATTATTTTTCCCACATCCCATATGTTGAAATCACATATAAAGATATTTAGCTCAAATACCATAGGTGCAAAACATTCCACACTTTGGGTCCAGGGTGATGTTTGGAGTGTCTTTAATGTGCTGTGGTGTTCAATTACAATACAGCAAATTTATTTTTATTCAGCCTTCTTCATTGAAAGTATGAAAAATTGCTTTGCAGTGAGTCATCTGACAGCTAAAGAACTAAAAGTCTGTAGTGATATTTAAAGAGAAAGTGGCTCAGAGCTGACAGAGTTCAAGACAGAAAAAGAAACAGAAATTAAAGAGAGGGCCTCCAACCATGGAGAAAATAGCAATGAAGACTGGTTAGCAGGAGGAGTGATGAGAAAGCCACACACTGAGAATGTCTGAGACAGTTCAGGAGATTATGCATATCATTCTGCAACAAGCATTAGGCTTCACATGTCTCTCCTGTATCACACCAAACTTAGCCAAGCAAGGCTATTTTGACCCCAAGAGAATGGTGTAAATCCAGATAAATAAGAGTACTAGGCTCAGGGCACTGTAAGGAATTTAGAAATGTGCAGGTAGGGGTTGAGGGAAGGATTAATGGCTTAACTTTCTTAAGCAAAACATTAGAATGTGGTGTATTCACCTTGGCTGAATGCCAGGCATCCACCAAAGCCTTTCTATTACTGTCTTCAGCTGGACAGCTGGACAGGAGATAGAAAATATTACTAAAGATTCACAACATAAGGGCAGGGAAAGATCACTCAGTGATTATTGTCATGGGCAAAACAGACTCAGCTTGGGGAAACTAATTGAATTTATTACAAATCAAAATTAGAGCAGGATAGTAAAAAGTAAAATCAAATCTTAAAAGCACCTTTCTGTTTTCCCCCCACTACCACTCCATCTTCCCAGGCTTAACTTTATTCCCAATTCTCTACCTCCTCCCCACCAGCAGCAAAGGGAGACTGGAGATGGAGGCTCTTCATCTCCTCAGGGAAAGGAGTCCTTCCTTTTCTCTGGAATGGGGTCTGTCCCATGGGAAACAATCCTCCAGCATGAGTCCTTCCCATGGACTACAGCTCTTCATGATCTGCTCCAGTTTTAGTCCTTTCCCACAGCATGCAGTCCTTCAGGAACAGCTTGGGTCCTCTGTGGGGTCAGAAGTCCTGCCAGCAAATGTGCTCCAGTGTGGGCTCCTGTCTGTGGTGACAGGACCACAGATCCTGCCAGGAGCCTGCTCCAGCATGGACTTCTAATGAGGTCACAGCCTCCCTCAGCCTTGCACTTGCTCAAGTGGAGGGTCCTCAACAAGAGGATCTCTGCTCCACCATGAACCTCCATGGGCTGCAGGGGCACAGCTGCTTCACCATGGTCTTCACCACAGACTGCAGGGAAATCTGCTCTGGCATTTGGAGCACTTCCTTCTCCACTGACCTTGGTGTCTGCAGAGTTATTTGACTCACATATTCTCACTCTGCTCTTCTCTAGTTGCATATATGGATAACTAAGTTATGCCAGAGGCATTGCTGCCATCACTGATGACTCAGCCTTGGCCAGCAGCAGGGCCATCTTGGAGCTGGCTGACATTGGCTCTGCTGGACATTGGAGAAGCTTCTAGCAACTCTTAATTGAAGTCACGCCTGTAGCCCCTGTGACCAAAATCTTGGCATGCAAATTCAATACTTTCTTCAAATAGTAGAAAACTGGATTTCTGCAATCTGGGATGTTTAAATGTATGGGGATTTTGTTAGATCATGAATGAGGGAATTACAGTTAATTAGATAGCAATTATTATATACATGAATATGGACTTCAGCAGCAGTGCACTTAGAGGCAAGATAGGTTTTTGCTTCTGGCCAAATCTTCCTTGGCCATTGCTAGAGGGTCTAGAAGTGAGTGTGTGGGAGGAGCAATCAGTTTAGGGTCAGAGATTACTTTAAAACCTGGGCTTTGTGTACAGGGATGATATCTGAGAAAAGTGCAAAAGCTGTCTTGAAGAGCAAGAGGGACTTATTTTCTGTGACATGTGAGGCTTTTGAAGAATTAGGTAGTAATAAAATTATAATATAGCAAGGGAACGGAACCAAGGCAGGCTGTTAAAGAGATTAGAGATTACTTGCCAAGGTCACTGTTGCCTTGCATGCTTTTCCTATAAAGTTGATGTCCAAAACTGAGATAGCAGTAAGATATCCCAATGGAGAATGCTTAAGGAGAAGAAAAGAGATGAGTCAGAAACATATGCCTGGTGTTTTTAAAGTACAGCACTGTTATGAATGCATATCATCAGTATAAACACTATCATCTTTCATTCTAAATTACATACATTCTTCTTGTGTTCTTGGTCAAGTCTACCAACTGGTGCTGAGGGACTCTGGGGAGCTCTCCCATTTTGTGTCGCCCAGTCTGCCCATACTGATTTTTGCTCTGGGCATTCTTTTTACCTAATCTGTATTGCCATATTATCTGCCTTAATAAAGTAAATGAGATGTAAAGTATGTAGCATGAAGGAGAATACAGTCTTTACTGAAAGCAGAAGGGAAAAAAGCATGTCTTTTTAATGCATTCAGAAAAGTTGACTTTGACATTGTAGTACTGAAAGACATTGTAAGAATAAAAGTAAGGTTAGAGCCACTCAGGTATCCCAGAATTTGAAGGGTGTCATATTTCACTGTATGCAGTTCTAAAATGTTTATTACAGATCTTCTTATTTACACCTCTCATGTCTCTTTTGAATCCACAGAAGAGGAATATCAAGGGCAAACTAAGAGAAAGCGCATTCGAAGGAAGAAACAAAAGAGCAGTTCACAAATCTCTAGTAATTTCCATGGAGAACAAACAGATTTGGGAATTCAAGAGACTGTTCAAGATAATTTACAGCTGCAGCAAACAAATGGTCCCAAAATAAGCAAAAACAAGAAGAGGAAAATGAAAAAGAAGCGACAGAAAGAAAAAAAGAGAGCAGCTGGCTTAGTAACAACAACTACCAGTGTGGATTTTACTTATCAGCCTGACAAAAACAGCAAAGAAGAAGCAGCAGGCTTAAAAGACATAGATGAGAAGACAGACAGCATTCTGGACTTCCTGCAGGCAACACAACAAATTTATTTTACTGACAGTATGTACCACTCTTTCTCCTTTCTTTTTTTGAATATTAGCACACAGGAGAAAATGGATATGTATTTATTACTGCTGTAAAATGGAACAAATCTATTAAAGTGTCTCTCTTGAAGAGAGGCATGTGAGAATAAGTAAGGCATGTACCTAATATTTGTCCCACTTTCTGGTCTGTACATGAATGTGCAAGAATTCACATCAATAGAAAAACCTTTAGAGTTCCTTGCTCTTCTCTTAAACATTCCAGTGCACTTGGGACAAGTGGTTAAAATTCTTTTTCCCCTCTGCAAGCAAACATCCAGAAGGATTACTGGCTTACAGAGAACTTCAAATAAGGGCAATTGCCATCCTAAACAACTTTCATGCTTAGTATCTCTGAACCAATCTACTTTTCTGAATGCTCTGTGCCCCAAGAGATTTATTTGAATTCTATAAGGAAATCTAGACAGACATGTACAGGAACAGGGAAGATACTATTGACGCTAGGAAAGCATATTGGCATAAAATGCTTGTGAATAAGTTGAATGGGAACTGATGCTTAATGCACATTCTCTAGTACTTTTAAAAGAATTACATAGATTTATCCCTAATGGCCTACCCAATGTGATTTATCCCTAATGGCCTAGTGGTCACTGTGGAGCTGAATGGAGAATATTAAATAGCTTACCTACCTGTCTTAGTCCATCTTGAGGCAGAGCTGTCAGATTCTAGTACCATAAAATTCATCTTTTGGTTACAGAATTGCTGTAAAAACCTTCTTAAGATGACATCAGGGATTTCATGTTAACTTTTTCAAGATTTATACATAGAATTTTCTTCGCTTAATGTTAAATTTTCCTGCTGCATCAGGTCTTCATACTAAGCCTAGCATCTATCCTACTTTCTGGCTAAGGTATTTCCATCACCAAAATTAAGAATTTTACTATTTCCCCATATGGCTAAGTAAATGCAAGCTAAGCTACTTTCAATTGCTGTAGTGGAGCTCCACAGTGACTGAGTAAGATTGCAAATTCTGCAAGTTCTACTATTAATACATGACCAGAACAGAAACCTGATGAATTTTCCACAGCTGTGTTGCATGTTGGTTTTTAAGAAAGTGTTGTTGAACTTCCAGCTTTCCTGCAAGTCAAGTTTAGGTTTTGACAGGCTTTGACAGACTGACTGGCTCTAGTTTCAAAACAGCAGATTGAAGTGTTGAGCCAGTGAGGGCCTTGGAATCCACAGAGGGGAATTCTTAGTTGAAAGGAATTTCATCTACAAATGAGATATGACATCTATAAATCAGAGTGTGACTAACTTTCTTGTTAGGCAAATCCCAGTTTGTATATAGATCTGACATTATGCTGTTTGCCGTTTTTCGTTGAATGACTTTAACACTCCCTATTCTTTTTAGATAAAATTTGAAGCCATTGCTTTTAGCTGCATTTTCAAACGGTCACATTGCATTATACTTCTAGTACATATGTTAAAAATCTGAATGGGGAAAATTCTGTACTTCTCAGGTGTCTTGCTGTTAAAAAAAAAAAACAATTAAAGGGACAGACAACACGTTACTGGAATGAAAGAGCGAATTTATGGTTTAGTAATGTAAAAACAATTGTATTTGGTTTGGCTGAGCTGGAGCTCATTTGTGTACAGCAGCCCTCACAGTACTTTGGAAAGGTGTTGATAACCCCAGCAGAGTTTTGGCTGCTGCTGGGCAGTGCTGGCATCCTATCAGCACTGTCTCTCCAACATTCCCCACCATCAAGGGGCTGGGAATGGACAAGACCCTGGGAGGGACACAGCCAGGCCAGCTGACCCAAAGTAGCCAAAGGGATATTCCATACCCATCAATACAGATGACATCAGCTCAGATATAAAAGCTAAGGGAATGAGGAAGAGCAGGGGCATTTGTTCTTTTACAATGTTTGCCTTCCAGAGCAGCCACTACATGGGCTAAAGCCGTGCTTCCCAGGAAGTGGCTGAACATCACTTGCTGATGAAAAACAGAGAATAAACTTGTCTTCCTCTTTAATTATGTGTGTGCAAACATCTGCTAGTTTAGGCTGAGTTTTTTGTGGCTTTGGGTTTCTTCAGCAAACTGCCTTACCTCAACCAATGAGCAGTTTTTCATCTCATTTTCTCTGCCCTGTCCCACTGGGAAGGGGAGTTGATGGAGCATCTTGATGGGCACCTGGCATCCCGCCAAGGTCAACCCATTACAGCAATGTATGTCCTTCTCTGCTGTCTTGCATGCTGTAATACTTGCTTTTTAAATAAAAACATAAAGGTGCAATACCAGAGTAGTTGTTTGCCTCCAGAAGTGCTTTGCAGTAGTTCCATAGAGTTGTTCCTTTCTTCAAATATCTGTGCAGTTCATAATATATAGTGTGTAGGAAGCAAAAACATAGTGCTTTGGCCACAGTACAGTTTCTTTTTCACACCTTCTTTCTCTGCTAACTTTGAATATTTGATTCTTCTTGCATTCCTATGATTATGAATCCTATTGTCCTTTTTACTAACTGATTTTTGTAGTTTTCGCTTTACCGTTGTTTGAATATTTAACAAAAAATATTTAACAAGCTACTCTTTAGTACCTGATATTTGGTTGTAATTTGTACTAAAAAGGAAGATGCTGTCTTAGGAAAAAAATTATAATTAGGAAAATTCTCTGAGTTCACTGAATATTTTTAACATAGTTTTCTAACTGTTTTTGCAGAAAAATCAGAATGCAGAGATGCTGCTGTAAATTCAGCAACTACCCAAGAGCTCTTAAAACATCTTGAATTTCGCACCATCTCTTCCTCAGACGTGACTCATCTGCATCGGCTGAAATCCCTTGTATTGCTACAGGATATTGAGAGATTGAAGGATGCTTTGAAACAATTCCAAGAACAATCTATGATGTCCCCTGGTAGGTACTATCACTCATGTTCATACACTCGTATTTTTGTATGAATTAAAATTCACACTGCTTTATTTTTTTAATTAGAAAGCTGTAAATAATGATGTAATAGCAAATATATGCTTATACAAGATATGAAAACATAATTCCCACCAAAATTACAGTGATATCCCTATTTCCCATTTGTTTACAATCAATATAGAAGCTTTTCACACTTTGCAGCAACTACAGATAACAAGATGATTCAAGGGTTTAAACCAATATTTTTAAAATCTGAAATGTTTTAAGATTTAATGATAATTAAAGCATATTTTTAATACATTCCCATGGTAGACTTTTTAAATTGCAGGAATTAACTTGTTTATCTTGGAGATTTCACTCCTCCAGCTAAGGATTAATTTTACATGCATAAAAATCAATAAAACCCATTATTTCATTTCTTCCTGGCTTCTTTAATACAGAGACTTTGCAAGCTAAACTTTGATTTACTGTTTTGGTTTTGTTTAAATATAAGCATCTGGTTTAAGTTTCTAAAAAACACTGCTGATAATGCAAACATTTAAAATTACTCTTTATAACAAATATTATTCTGAAGTCATTCATAAAAAGAAAAATTACTGTATTAATAAATTTTTACATGCCTAAGGCACAGGATTCTTCTGTTCCCTTTTATAAACTCTATAATTTTAGTAGAATCTCTTCTTGTACAGTTAATAGTTCTTCAAGTGAATGTGGGATCAGCATGTAGTCCACATGAGGTATAATGATTCATTTTTCATGTAGTCTTCATTTAAGCAGTCATTGCTACTAGTCATTAGAATTTGTGTTGCAGCATCAGACAAAAATCTACAAGATGTGCTGAATTTTCTTGCCTCCCAAAGAATTTAGTCAGAGTTGAGAGCAGTTGCAGCATGAGAGAATCTCAACCATTTTAAATCGTACTCTTAAGTCTTTTGAAGAGTAACAGCAGAGGTGATAGCAGTGTGGTAACAGTGTAATTAAGATCATAGCCATCAGAGGTCTAGTAAAGGCATTCAGAGTAGGGACATCTGCTTGTGACTTCATTAAATCATTTGCAGCATGATCGTGGCTAAAGATCCTCATCTACACTGGAGCTACTGGCTGCTGTGTGTTGGACAGAGACAGGAGAGAATGCCTGCCTGTGGAGTTCAGATCTGATCAATTTTGAAAAGGATGCTCTTGGAGAAGTACATATGTATTCTTTTAAGGGTAGATGTGCAGTATGACAACCCTTAGGGTTCTGATACATGGAATGAAATCCTTGTGTGCATTTCAAGCCTACAATCTCTGATCTTAATTATAATCACATTGTTTCATTGACGTTATACGTGTGTGCAAACCATGTAGAACTCAGCAGGAATCGTGAAAATGGTATTGCTCTTTATTGAATGGACTAATTCATATTTTCTTGATTAAATCCAAGTGGAATTGAAGTGACAACATTCGGGATGCTCTTTACAGGCCTTTTCTAACTTTTGTAGAATACAGTTGGAGTTCTGTTGGGTTTTGCAGCCTTGAGAAAAGTTGCTCTGTTTACTTTTGTATAGTGGAAATGTCAAAATGAAGAGAGAAAACAGAAGCAAATTAAAACCCCTAATTTTTCAATGTATATATTTATCACTTGAAAAAGCAAAAGACAATTTTCTGAGTGATTTTTAAAATTCAATAATGTTTCTGCTGCTACAGCCTAGTAGTTGATTTTTTTCCCTAGTAACTGCTGTCACTCTGGGCTCAATTCTAATTTCATTCTAAGTTCACAGTGGTCTAACCATAGTAGTTAATTTTATATTCATAAGGTACAACAACATAAGAAAGTGGAAAAATACATTCTTATAAATTATTAAAGGATAATTAAGCACCTGCTAGTCATTAAGTTTCCTCAGCAGACTTTAAAAAATACATTCTCTTTGTAATTCTGGAAATTCAGTGAATGAAAATACAATGTTCTGAAATTTTACTTTGAATTAGACCTTTAATTATACCCTTTTTTTTTGGCTCAAAATTAGGTCATCTTGTCCAGTGTGGGCTTTTTACATTTTAGTTTTCACTCCTGATGAGCAGGTGATAAAAGTTAAGAGTTATTACAAAGAGCTTTGTAATATAATACATTTCTATAATAAGAACTTGAATTTTTTAATACACTCTTTGTTGTATTAACAAATAATAAGTTAAAAATGCACAGTACATAACATTTTTTATTATTTTGTCTTATTATCTTGTCTTTCTCTCTTTATTTATACGGGGATGCAAAGTACTAGAAGGAAAGGTTATTCCATATTAACATGATAAAAAAACCTTTGATTTTGGGAAGGTGTATTATTTTTGCAAAATAAACATTTTATTTTATTAATTTAGTTCAAGAAGCGGTATGTAAATCCTTTTTCCCATGGTTATGATTCTACTTAAGATGCCGTCATCAAGGAGGTAAAGATGGGTGCTGTGTTTTGTTCAGTTTTATCTTTAATTCCAGGAAGGAACTAAAGATAAGGAATGAAACAAAAAAAAATAGAGAAGTGATGCATCTCTTCATATAAGTGCACATTCTCCACTAGTAAAAGTTAGAAATTATCCACACCATTATGTCTTTTATTTCCTCATATAGGGATGTTATGGTTTTATCCAACTTTCCACTGGGATTACAAAGTCCCACATGGCAAGCCTATGCCTACTGATGATAAGAGTGCTTTAGGATAAAGCCATGGGCTGTTCCCGGTCTGCAGATTGCAAATTCAAAACCGCTAGTTCAATACCAAGATTTGCTATTTCCTTTGCATCTCTTAGCTGTTACTCAGATTGAAAATTACAGTGCACCCAAAAGAGAAAAGAAACAAGTCATAAATTTCTGTTTTATCTTAAGCTCTTAGATCCCAATTTTTGCAGACATATTAAATAAAGTCCTATCAAGGTTGGTGGAAGGGTGTGATAAATTTTGCAGGAAAATTAAATACTAAGGAGATTCAGACACAAAAATTATCAACATTAGCTATTATCTTTTAAACCTTCATTTAAATGAGAAAAAATACTTAAACAAGAAAATCTCTATACTTCAGAGGTACTGGTTGTTCTGTTTAGTTATCATCCTCCATCAACTTACCTTGTACTTCGTGCTCAAATACTCCATCAAATAGTCTTTGATCTTGTACATGAATGATCAGACAAAGTTGAGGTTGGTCAAGAGTGTTCATGTGAACATCATTATTTGGAGTGTCATTGTTCTCAGTCTGTAAAAGAGAACAAAATGCCCTATTGCTTTCCATTTATTTGGCAGTCTTCAACAAAACATACTTACTTCTACCTAAAATCTTCTGTACATGCAGGGAAGACAATGTTTAGAAGTCACATAGACATGGATTTCTCATGACGGCGGCTTTGCTGTTAGAAAGTCTGTGGCCATTAGCAAAAGGAAGCCAGACCTTCATGATCCTCCGCAGTGCAGTGAGCAAAGGAGAAGAGATGTGACTGGAAGTAATGCTCCCTTTGCTGGCTGGAAACTAGCTTTGGAAATGAGAACTACTTAGTTCCCATTTCACATCAATTTTTAAAGCATAGGTGATCACCTAATTAAAAAAAAAAAGTCATTATCTCCTAATTTATGAACTCATTTATGAACTGCTCATCAACTTCATTCTGTTATCTATTAACATTTTCCCTTTGTTGGTTGGTTTCAAATCTCAAACATACTCTTCCCTTGTTGCCTAGGAAATTATCACTCATGGCAGAGCTAGAAGCTTCTTTTAACTGTCTTTTTTTGGAGAATTGTCATTTATATAAGTCTTCATTGCAGTGGGAGGTACATTTTGCAGACTAGAATTAATATAGTTACTGTGTGCTAACAATGCAGAGGCTGGATATACGGAGGCCTTAAAATGATGAAATTTACACTTCTTTTTTTTTAATTAATGAGCATTCAAAGAAAAGGAAATTTAAAAACTGTATTAGCATAATGTTATAGAATCATCTTAAATGTGATTATTATGTGATAAGTACTGCAAAAAATCCTATCATTAAAAATCAATAAAGTCACATAGGTAATCTCTGAATTCAAAGACAGAAGGCTTTTGAGGCTTTAATGCAGCTATCTGTACAATATGACTCATTCTCAACTGGGGCTTCTAGGTACTACTGTTAAGTTAAATAATGATCTGTGAAACTCCTCTCCAGACAGAAAGAAGGCTTGCCCAGATGATCATGTAATTTCAATCTCATTTTTTCTGAATTATTGAATCATAACAAATGGGAAATTTCAAAGTGTACGAGCAAAATTGTGTCTCATACAAATGACTGACGTCCTAAAATAAAGTGCACCTGCTTACATAGAAATTTATAGGTATTAGTCTTCAAGGTCCAGTATGTGCATTGGTTTTACTGAAATGTTGATATTGAATAGAAAGAGATGTTCACAGAAGTGTTTTTATTAGTGTTCAGAAATGTCATGGAGGTATTTCAGGAGGAATGTGTTTTCTTTGTTTCAGATCATGCCAAGGTAGCTACATCTCTGTTTCACTACTGGATTACAGATATACTTCCTGTGAAGAACAGGAAATAAAGCCTTACCTATGTGTCCATATACACAGGATTAAAATTTAATATACAGACTCTTAACCAAGTAGCATTGCTTCAGGAAGAGCAGTGCCAATACACATTTGCACCTTCAGGTAAATGGACAAAAACTCCAGAAGACAATAAAGGTATAACTACAGTGTGATTTTTGGTCAAGAGTATGGCCTGAGTCTTCAGTTGTATTAATATGTACATTTCACTTTAGGATAAGGGACTTGACTGGAATGATAAAGTTCTCTGTCTGGTATTTTGTTTAAGAAGTATAGTATTACATTTTTTATTTGTAAGTTTATCATTCCTTTCTGGAAGTTATATTTCATTACTTTTTTTGTATATCTGCTTGCCTGAAAAACAGAACTATATTTTTTTATATTTAAACCTAAGCAACATTATGTCTGAGGAATGTATTTTTGCTGAATAAACTGCTAAATTGTGGACATAGATATGTTTCTATATGTGGGTCATGTGAGTCACATAAGTCCTGTTTGGAATTGTGCAGAAACTTGGATGGCATTTTCAGAACTACTCCATGGCTCAGCCTGTTACAATCCAATGGGTTTCACTGACTTCAGAGTTATGGTACTGGGTGCTCTCTCCCTGATTACTGTGTAATCTGTCTACTGCTGTGTAATATTTCTGCAATTGAATTTATCCAAGTGTATACTACAGTAACGGTTGTAAAATGTTTTGGAATAATGAAGAAACAAGTGTGAGAGGCTCTTCTCTCTGCTGTATCATTCATCTGACAGGTGATACAGAGCAAACCATGTCTTATATCTAGGTGTGTTAGCTTTGTCATCAGTAAGATAGGGGCAACATATTTAATGCCTCCGACATGTGCTTGGACATACACTACTGATGAGACTGTACAAACATTGCATGGGTTTTTTGCTTCGTTTTTTCTCTTTCATTATATTGCCTGATACATCACGTTGCAAGGTATTGGTTTAGTGATACTCAAAATTTGTAACAAAAGTAAAATCATAACTCTTTCTAATTAATTGCAGAAATTAGAAGGGGTTTGGTAATACACCAAATGATTGCAGGTGCAGAAAAACCATTCTTATGGCTAAGGGAGCTCTGTGCAGCTCTGAAGAACTTGGGTTTGGTTTGTATCTGGTGGCAAAGTTATATAAACCAGACTTTGCAGAGGAGAAACTAGTAGTGTATTCCCTGTTAATGTTCCTGAATTGCTAACACATAGGCATTGAACTGTAGTTATGACTTTTCACTGATGTCCTGTGTGTCTCAGATTCCCATCTGGAGAAAGAAGAAAACATCATTTGAATGTGAAGCACCTAGATACTCTTTCTTAACTGACTCATGGGAAATTAATCACTTCATCCTCATTTTGAGGTTTGAATGTTGCACAGTAAATGAGGCCTAGGAACTGCAAAAAAGGATACACAGAACTCATTAGGTAAACATCATCTGTCCTAAACACTGAATATGAAAAAATGAATGAGGGCATATATTCAAAGAGAGACTTTTGAAACACAACTACAAAAGAGATCAAATTAGGACCACAAAAATAACTGTAGTGTCTGCATTTCCTAATACTTGAGTGACTGTGCTAGGGAGGTTATAGGGCTGCTGCCTGGAGTAGATCCCAAGACTTGGCGATTCCTTCTCTTTGTCCCTCTGTATTCCAGGTTAGTGTATCTGGAGATGTGGATGTCAGTGTAGGTGACTCCAGTTTCCACATTTCCAGGTTCAGACAGTAGCAGTGCTTAAGCACATAGCTCAGGGACACACACACATGACACTCACATGGCTGACTAGACATCCTTGATCCCTTGGATAGCAGGACAGCCAGTGTCCTGTCCCTGCCTGGGTCCTGGGCCCTCGTGCCTGCTCTGTGGCTCTCCTGCACACCAGCTAGTCCAGCCTGGAACACACTACCACACGTTCACACACCCATCTCACAGACAATCGTGCACTCATGTCACAGCCTTCTTTATTGCTTTCATTTCTCTTATTTATTATTTCTCTTTCAGTGTTTGTCTATTTCTCATAATCACAGGATGGTTTGAGTTGGACATAAAGGTCATCAAGTCCCAGCCCCCCTGCCATGATCAGGGACACTTTTCCACTAGACCACATTGCTCAATATATTAAAGTGATTTTTAAAATTCTACTGAATTTTGAATAATTGCGTATAGATGAGCAGATTTCGATATCTTTGCCAAACAGAAATATTTTCACAGAATCACAGAATGGGTAAGATTGGAAGGGATCCCCACAGGATCATCTGGTGCAGCCTCACTGCTAAAGCAGGGTATAATTTTATACTATTCCAGTGAGTAAAAGTTCACAGGTCAGAAAGGTACTTTGCTTGAACCAGGCAATAATGGATAAAAGATTACTTTTGCTCTCTCTTTTTTTCCCTTTGCTTTCACCACTGTAAGAGCCTTATATTCTGTGCAGAAATCAGCTGGCCCCAGCTAAGCAAGCTCAGGAGCATTTCTGAGTGCAGTCAGTCAGTGATATCTGACCTGTAATAGGAACTGAATCTTACACTTACCAAACCTGCCACAGTTGTACTAGCAGGGATTATGAAGAGGTTCAAGTATGCTAAGAGTTTAGAAAATTGGACCAAATTCAAGAAGATAAATCATAGATTGTCATTGTACATAAATGCAATTGCATGTGTATTTATTTCTGAACCAAATGTGCCACACAGTGATGTGCTGAATTGCAACATGCATGAAGACACTTAAAAGCACTGCACAAAAGAACAGAGCAGAAAGATTCTAGTTTAAAAGCAAAAGAAATGGACATTACTCATAATTTAAATTCAGCAGTGTACTAAAAATGGCAGCAGGTCCATATTTGACATTCTATTTGCAGTCAAAAAGATTTCATACATCACAGTTTTAATACCTAGTCACTCTTCTGCACTGTTTCTCTAAAGAAATGGTGCTTAATCTCCTTACACTTTCTCAAGTGTATTTAAGCAGTGGGATCACAATGTGGCTGAGATACAAAAACTGAAAAATTTAAATGAATATCCACCAGTGAACACTGTTTTTCATTTCACTATACATGGCTCCTTCAACATAGCAATGAAACATTTATCCCTTTAGATTTTCATGCTGAACTTATAAATGGGAAAGGAGATGGCCTTGAATTTTTGCTTCTTCAGCATCATTCAATTTAATGAATATGCTGCATCATGTGGAATTACTGAAACATAGAAGATTTTTGTAAGTGGATTTTGCATCAGAATACTTCTGGCTAAACTGTACGTACACTATTTTTAGCATATTTCAAACTTCTGTGAAGGCAGAACTTCAAAATTTTGGGTTCAAAACCTACATGGACTCCAAAAGTAGGAAGAATTAAAGGATCAAATGGAAAGTAATCTGCATGTGTCTTCAGAGGTTAACTTTCTAGTTTACATTATTGAACAGTGGATGGTAAGTAAGGAGCAGCAGCACAATGGGAGAGAAATCTGCTCTGAGAGGCAGTGGTCCCCTGCCAGCCTGTACAAGGAAGACCACAGGGGCTGAAGGCATTTGAGACATCTGTATTAGTGGATAAGCTGGTCAGTGCACTTGTGTATGCAAGGGTATGAGTTCAAAGCCATTATCTCTATATATAGGTACATGTTTTATTCTTAAAATTGCCTGTAAGACCTTAATTTTTTTCTCCTTTTGTGGATATATAATATGGGAATCAATCTCTAATGTTACAGATTTTTACTGCTTTGTAACTGCTGCATTATTTTAGGTAGTGCTTTACAATCACGTAGAGTTATAAATTCCTTAGTGTGTTTTCCATGACAGCTGGCTTTTCTCTCCTGCACCAGTGTAGGGAGTTACTACTTAATAGGCTGAATGTCTGAAATTACATTGTCGGGGGGAGGGGGAAACTTCAAAAAAACTCAAAAACAAGGAAGGAGAAAGTGATGAATGGCAGCATAGAGGCAGAAGATTTTTAAGTTGTCTTTCACCAAAGAAAACTTATTTCACCTACTAAAAATACCATGTATATCATAAAACCAGTCCACAGACATTGAGTGGAAAGAGGTGTGTGTTTTGCATGTACAGGATGCTACACATTGGGCATAATAATAGAAAGTGGTAGTGCAAAAGATGGCAATCTGTAGGACTGGGAAAATGTATTATATTTAATATTTAGGGAAACCTCAGGTTTTAGCTATGCAAGTTTTGTAGTTAATTGCATCAGCCCCGGATTGCTCCTAAGGAAGGCTGTATTGCACGTGTTTATGCAATTAAGCTTCACTCTTTACTGCTTTATCCTCTGCATTGCATCTGAGTAAATTTTGTTGTTTTAAACTGTTTGATGTATGCAGGCCTAAAGGGAGGGGGGGACATGTATTTTAGAAAAGCAGAAATTGAGATGCTGTATTTGTTTACTGTCTCTAAGAATCTAGGAAAAAATCTATATATTCTAGTGTTATTTGAAACTACATATGCACCATAGTCAGTGAAGGTCAAATATATAGCTTTAATAAGCCTATTCTCTAAGTTGACTTCTTAACTTTGTATAATTAATAGTCTGTAGTCATTTTAATGAACTCCATACTCTAATAAAGTATATAAGCAAGCTGTAGTTCTCTTTTACATTATTACTGAAAGGCTATGTCCTGTTTTAGGATACATAATGGGCAAAAAAGAAGTGTAATCTAAGATTGAAGAGGAATATCTCAGCCACATTGTGATACCACACAAAAACAGAAGGAACTTTTCTTTTGCATCAACTCTAGGCTGCTATAGGTTGCATCAAATAGGGGCTGCTTTTCTTCACTTTCAAGATCTTTGCCAGTTCTCTCTATCCCTCATTCAGTGCACAGATGATTCCTCTATCCCTACCAACCTCTGGTATTAATTTCGATCACCCATTTGCCATACTTCAGATTTACACATTTGTGCTTTTTCCCCACAGTGCTTACCACAACTGTACAGCACAATCTTTCCATTGTTTTACTTTCCTTCTTTAAAGCTCTCTTTTGCTGTGATCCTGCCCAAAACCTTGGCCAAAACCCCAAGCCTGGTCAGTCTGATGCTAGGACAACTGCCTGTTGTGCTGACTAATGTTGCCTTACTGTCTGTATACTCCCACATCAATGTCCCTGTTTTCTCTGCTGTTTTCTCCTTTCCTGAATCAGTAGCAGTTTGATGCAGGCTTTGCCCTGCTGCACAGCAGCACCATTGCAGCCAGTTCTATCACCTCTGAGTGTGCTCAGGAAATGTAATAGACTTGTCTACAATGGGGAACATGTTTGAATCTGTGGGCAAGGCTGCTGATAGTTTAAAGTGGCCTCATAATTTTATATTGCACACATGATCAGTCTGGTAAAACGGGGACCTGGTTCTCCCCAGCAGGTGCTTTGGAGACAATGTTCTTCTGCGTCTTGCTAAAGAGATCTTGGAGGCATGCAGTCATTCCTCCTGTGCCGCGCTCCCGCCCCGGTTCCCTTTGTCTCAGCTCCGGCTAGCTCTTGTGGGGCGAGGGCGGGCGATGGAGGCACCCTCCGCCGCTCCCAGCTGGGGTTTGGAGAGTGCCTTTGTGGGTCCCGGGCAGCGCTAGCACGCCTCGCGGTGGTAAATGAAGAGCGGATCCTGCTGGGGGCTAAGTCCGAGTTTATTGTAGCCCAACGGGGCCAAATATCCTAGAACGGTGCCAGCCAACAGGAACAAGCACAAGGTGCTTGCACTGGCTTATAAACTGTAAGGGAGGGGTATCCAACGACCAATGGGGATAGGGATAGGGGGTGGCTCCGGGATGGGGGGATATGGTGGGGTCCAATGGGGGAAGGATATGGGGGGAGCCCCAGGTCCTCGCCCAATCACCCGGTGCCCTGAGTAGAAGCTTCTGAATGGATGGGAAGGGGCAC